CTTCTGCAACTGGCAACATAAAGAGGGAACTACAGCAGGATGGTAGAAGGGGTGTGCTTGTGATGATTGGGCCCCATACCCCTGGGGTGGGCAACCCATAAGCTGAAGAATAGTTAAGTTGCAGGGGCCCTCCCACAGGAGTGAGAGCTCTAAGCGCCACATCAGGCTCCCCAGCTTGGGTTCTGGCATTGGGAGAAAAGGAGACCCCAGGACATCTGGTTTTGAAGGCCAGTGGGACTTGGTGCCAGGAACCCCACGTGACTTGGGGAAACGGAAACTCCATTTGCTTGGGAAGCATACACGGAATCTCATGTGTGCCAGGTCCAAGGGCAGACGCAGTAATTTCACAGGACCTGGGCCTGGCATGCCTGCTAGATTCAGAGGGTCTTCTGGGGACGTGGAGGATGGCTGAGGCTCACCCAGGGGACATAAAAGCTGGTGGCGGACACTGTGGGAGTGTTCATCTACATGAGCTTTCCGGGAGGCTGACATCTTGATTGGATCATTAGCACCAAGACCTAGCCCCACCCAACAGCCTGTAGGGAAGCCTAAGGCCAAATATATGGGGGGGGGGGACACAGCCCTCCTCCCATCAGCAGACCTCCTAAGCCACAAAGGCCTCTAGACACAGCCCTACCCACCAGAGGTCCAGGACCAAGCCTCAGTCAGCAGTGGGCAGGCACGGAACCCTGAATAAGCCTCTAGTCCAGCCTCATCCATCAGGGGGAGATACTAGAAATAAGAAAACAATCCCAAAGCCTGTGGAAGGAATCCACAAACATATAGAAAGATGGATGATATGAGGCAGCAAAGGAATATCTCCCAGGCCGAGGCACAAGATAAAATCCCAGAAGAAATAAGCGATGAGATAAGTAATTTAACTGAGAAAGAGTTTAAAGTAATGATGGTGAAGATGTTCAGAGAACTCAAGAGGCGCACAGATGCACAGAGTGAAGTTTTTAGCAAAGAGTTGGAAAATATAAAGAATACCCAAACAGAGTTGAAGAATAAAATCACTGAAATGAATCACACACTAGAAGGAACCAAGAATAGACTAAATGAGGCAGAAGAATGGATCAGTGAGCTAGAAGACAGATTAGTGGAAATCACTACTTCAGAACAGAAAACAGGAAAAAGAATGAAAAGGAATGAGGGTAGTTTAAGAGAACTCTGGGACAACATGAACTGCTCTAATATTCGCATTATAGGGATCCCAGAGAGAGAAGAGAGAGAGAAAGGACCTGAGAAAATTTTTGGAGAGATAATCACTGAAAACTTTCCCAAGTTGGGAAAGGAAACAGTCACCCAAGTCCAGGAAGTGCAGAGAGTACCACACAGGATCAGCCCAAAGAGGAACACACCAAGGCACACAGTCATCAAACTGCCAACAATTAAGGATAAGGAGAAAATATTAAAATTAGCAAGAGAAAAGCAACAAATAACATACAAGGGACTCCTATAAGGTTATCAGCTGATTTTTCAGCAGAAACTCTACAGGCCAGAAGGGAGTGGCAAGATATATTAAAGTGATGAAAGGGGAAAATTTACAACCAAGAATACTCTATCCATCAAGGCTCTCATTCAGACTTGATGGAGAAATCAAAAGCTTCACAGGTAAACAAAAGCTAAAAGATTTCAGCACCACCAAACCGGCTTTACAACAAATGTTAAAGGAACTTCTCCAGTCATCAAACCATAAAAAAAGAGAACAAAAAGAAGAAAGAGAGAAAAAAGGACCTACAAAAGATTTCTTTGGCTGTTCGGAGTCTTTTGTGGTTCCTTATAAATTTTGGAATTGTTTTTTCTAGCTCTGTGAGGAATGCATTGTTGCATTGGATCTGTGGATTGCTTTGGGTTAGTGTGGCCATTTTGACAGTGTTGATTCTTCCAATCCAAGAGCACAAGAAATCTTTCCATTTCTTTGTGTCATTTCAGCTTTCGGAGTATAGGTAACTTCCTTGGTTAAGTTTATTTCTAGGTATTTTGATGTTTTTGATGTAGTGGAAATGTTTATGCCAGTTATAAAAATTCTGGTTTTGGAAGTGAAAAAAAAAAGTGAATGAAGGGCTGCAAATGGCAAAGTATGGCAAAGTATCCTTCTTTCTTATAGGTGAGTTGTATTCCATTACATATATGTATGCTGCATCTTCATTATCTATTCAACTATTGATGTGCACTTAGGATGCTTCCATATCTTGGCAGTTATAAATAATGGTCATTCCAAACTACTTTAAACAAGCACACTAGGTTAACTATTAACTCATAGTGAAACTCATAACTATTCTTTAAAAATATTCAATAATTTTCAACAATAAAAATGGCATAAACTTAACAAGGGTGTCGAATTTAGTTGCCTTAAATGACAGGAAGGGTAATCTAAGAAACAGATCTGTTATCAAAAACATTATCTCTAAGTGAACACCGACCAGAGATACGGTATCTTGAGTAAAACTTTCATCAAAAAGGCACAGACAGCTACTGCTGGAAGGAATCTGACCTCTTTACCTTAGATATGGAATCTGAGATCAGAGAGGTTGACATGATGCCCAACATTACACAGCAGCACGTGGATAGCAGGACTAGGTCCCAGGTCCCTCAAATACCTATCCTCATTCTTTCTATCACATTGCCTCCCTTCCTTGCTTCATCTTGTTGGAACTTGCATTTAGAAGTGCATTTAGAATAGAATTTACTTGTAGGCTGATATTATAATTATTTGGATAGAAAGTGGGGAGATTGGGAGACTCCCAGAAGAGACCTCAAGTGGTTGTGCTTCATTCCTGTATGTTTAGAGCTCATAGAATTGGTGGGGAGGCAGTTTGTCAGGGGAGGCAGATCAGCATTCTTTCTTGTTCCGGTGACAGCAGCTGCCACGAAAGTAAACAACATAGAGTAAGTACTCAATAAATAAACTTTGCTGAGAAGCAACTGACAGCACAGGAGCCTAAAAATATCTCTATCATTTAATGCATTAATTACATATGTAGAACCTATCCTAAGAAAATGCTCAAATATAAACAATATGTTTTAAAATTTCTCATCACTGCAATATTTATACAAGCAAAAACCTCTAAACAAACATCCAATAGTAGGGAAAAGGTTAAATACATTAGTATATATATATGTGTGTATATATACGTGTATATATATATATCTACTTGCTATAAGAAGTACACAATCTTCTCATTATAAGTGTTCTAAGATTAACCTTTTCGCTTTACATAGAGATCCTTTGTACTGTGAAGTTGCATTAAAAGGTCAGAAAAAAGGCTGACAATCAATGCCTGGGGCACTGCAGAACTATTTTCTGGGGAAATCTGAAGGTCTGGGACCTATCTGTTCAGGCCTGCCTTCTCCCATTTTACAGAGGCAGGTCTAAGGGGCCTGGGAGGAAGAAGGTGCCGCAGAGAAGCAAGGACAGCAACACTGGCCCTGACACCTTTTTTGAACCAGGGTGGCTTTATATCAAACACGTTGATTGAACCCGCTGTTTAGGAACTCCTGCAGAGAGGAACTAAAAGGTATACATGAGTCCTAGGGTAAATTCCAGCCCCAGATATCCAATTGTTTTTAATAGACTTTATTTTTTTAGAGCAATTTCAGGTTCACAGCAGAACTGATCAGAAAATAGAGAGTTCGCACATAGCCCTCCCCACCCATACATATATACTCCCCTACCCTCAACATCCCTCATCAGTGTGGCATATTTGGTACAATCGATGAACCAACATGGACACATTATTATCAGCCGAAGTCCATAGTTTAATTTAAGGTTCACTCTTGATGTTGTACATTCTGTGGGCTTTGACAAATGCATAATGACATGTAGCCACCACTATAGTATCACACAGAATAATTTCATCACCCTAAAAATCCCTTGTGTTCCATCTATTCATTCTTCCTCCCTCCCTTTCCCCAAAACCCTGGAAACCACGATCTTTTTATTATTTCTGTAGCTGTGCCTTTTCCAGAATGTCATTTGGTTGGAATCATACAGTTTGTAACCTTTTCAGACTGG